AAACCTTAAGTAAACATCAGACTCAGACTCACCTGATGGGTTTCTCTCTGCCTCTCCTCTGTCTCTGTGTCTCTGGGATCATTTACACTCATTTGGTAAATCTGACCCCTATTATTATATATTTGCTGAAACTGGAATCATTTAGCTATTTCAATATTAAAGTTATTGTAGGACTCTTAATTCCCACATCTAACTACAGCCTACCACTTTGATCATATTGCCTCTTTCTATGAGTTTTCCAACATTTAAGGATCTTTCTCAGTCAAATTTGCTGCTGACTTGCTTCCTATAGAATTGTCCTTAAAGGTACCTTATTTGCACAACAATGTCATTAAAAATTTCCCCCAAATCAATAAAGCAAATTTCAACATTATCAATAGTATAATTTGTCCTGTTAATCACAGTCTTTGGTTTAGAAAATGGGATCAGCTCTCCAGTGCTGGGAGTACTTCAATAGATTCACCACGGCTCAAGTGGTGCAGTTTTAATTATTTTCCTGTTTCTCCTTTTAAAATACAATTTAAGAACAATCTATTAAAATGAGGAAGAATTATACATATGAAATATCTTTCATTTGCTTTGGATCACATTTTATATATGTTTGGATAAAATGCAAAATACTGTACTGGAAAGTGTTGTAGGTTCATGAGATAATATTTACATTTTAATTATGTCAGCTTTTACATTTGGATACCATTTGGACATTATTTAATAATCACCTGAGCTTTCAGACTTACATTGAAAATGGATGATTTTAGCAAAAAGATAACTTGAGAAATGTTTCATTTTTGCATTTTTTTCCCTCTTGCTAGTGAAGGTGAACTTATTTTGGAATGAATTAGTAGTGTGCTGCCATTAAACATGAGTATCTGCTCTGTTAATCATCCTTTGCAAGTCTAGCAACATTCTGGCAAAATCATTGTTGAGGATAAGAAATCATAAGTCATCTAGTTTGAAGGCTTCACAGCTTCAATAAATGTGATGTGTCAGCTACTTCATTTCTATGCACTTTTTTTTGCTTCTATAATTTCCTCAGAAGGAATCAAGTTATAAAAGAGCCTACTTTCATGCAAATGAATTGCACATTTTGGCTCAGGTTACCTTGCTAAATTTTACACTTAATAAATAATAAATGAAGATACTAGAAAGGAGAAGTATTAACGAGATAGCACTTTGCTCCTAGAAAGCGCTTTTTGCTGGAAGCACTGAAATCAGGATTTTTTTAGCTGGCTAGGAATCTAAAACATAGCAATAATATTGTAATTTGGTTTAGGAACTGAGCTTATGGAATAAATGCACCGAATACTGTTTTCTTTTTAAATAATAGTTATATTTAGTGTATCTTAAATGTATGATTTAACACTAATAAAAGATACATTGCTGCTTTTAGAGACAACACAGAACTTTTTTTTTTTCTTCACCACACTAGCCTTTAGATAAGGGAAACAGTTGGCTACTTAAGTAGCTCATAATGTTTAATTAGTAGTTTAAATGTGAGACTTTTCAGTATAAAAAGGAAAGCATTCTTCCAAATATCAACTTTAGTCTTAAAACTAGATATTCTTTAGAATAAAAATGTGGAGGTGGAGTTGTGGTTCAGTGGGCTAAGCCTCCACATAGGACACCCACAGCCCTTCTCAGAATGCCTGGTTCCAGTCCGGGCTACTCTGTACTTCTGATGTAGCTTCTTGTTAATGCCTGTGAAAGGCAGTAGTAGGTGGCCCAAGTATTTGGGCTGGTGTCAACTATGTGGGAAACCTGAATGCAGTTTAGGGCTTTGGTCTGCCCCAGCCATGGCTGTTGTGGACACTTGGTGAGTAAAACAGTAGATAAAAGACCTTTCTATCTCTCTCTTTCCAATAAATTACAGAATTTAAAAATCATAAAATGTGTTTTCTACCTCTTAAATGACAAAAATTTTATTAAAATGGCTCTGCTTCACTTTAATATGCAATAGATTTCACGGTATTATATGAATATTTCACTGAATTGGTAGCTCCCTTACCAGTGATGTTTTTCCTGAGCAGGACAAACATTGAATTAAATAGATAACTCAGTCTTCAATCATTCTGTACTCTGAAACTTTCAAACGCTGCTTCCAAAGGATGCCAATTAAGACTTTCAGCATGTTTAAAATATCTCTTTTTTCTAAAGATTTCCCTGACTTGAGAGGGCAAGGATAGGGACAAACTCAATATATTCAATTCCCTTTAGGTGAGATATTACAAAGTTGACAAATGGCATGTCACTTCAGTAATTTTCAACCCTAGCTTGAATGCAAAATGTTAGGAATTAAGCTGAGTAATTTTTTTTTATAATTTCCTATTTGAAACTTTACTGAGATGTCTTTTTTCTTTACTTTTCTTTCATCACTCCTTTTGAATACTCTGAAATAGAGTTAGAAGCTAAACCCCTTTGTAGCCTAGATAGGGTTATTTTTATTTGTGATATTGTCATAGCAAAGTGCAACAAACTAGGTGATTCACAACAACAGAAATGTGTTCTCTCACAATTGTCAGAATCAGAAATCCAAAATAAAGTGTCACCTGTGGCATTTTCCTCTGGGACTTGGCTTTAGTCCTCCCTCCGCACTTTCTGACTTACCCTGGTGTACTTTCTGACTTACCCTGGTGTACATCAAGCCTTTGCTTGCAGAGGTATCACTCCAACCTTTGCTTCCGTCATCACATGAGGTTTTGCCTGTATGTCTGTCTGGGAACTTTCTCTCCTCCCCTCCCTCTCCCCCTCCCCCTCCCTCTCCTCTTCTCTCCCCTCCTTCTCCTTCTCCTCCTTATTTTTTTAAATAAGGGAATCAGTCATACTGCATTAGGGAGCACCCTAATGGAATTATCCTATCTTGATTATAACTGTAAAGACTCTTTCCAAATTAAGATTGCATTCACATATTCAGGTGGCTAGGACTTCAAAATATCTTTTTGGTTATGCAATTTAACTCCTGGTGGTGTTCAATTCCATCAAATGACAATTTAAGAAATTAATTCATTATTCTCATTTATTTATATGTATATTGCTGTTGTTCAAAATCAACTAATTTGACCATCCAGAGTCACTTAACAAAGAAATAATGCATAATTTAAGAAATGTTTGATGTGTGTCCAGGAATATTTCTAATCTTTCATAAATATACAATATTGACATAGAGTATTTCATTGGTACGTATTGGCGGAGTTGTGAAGTAGCTTCTCATTTATTGACATTTAAACTTAATTGTACTTCATTATTGAAAATATAATATGGACTACTCCAAGTTCATTGATCTGGACTCATTTTTCCTGATAAACTTTTTAAAATGATTTCTTGGCCGGCGCCATGGCTCAATAGGCTAATCCTCCACCTGCGGCACCTGCACACCTGGTTCTAGTCCCGGTCGGGGCGCCGGATTCTGTCCTGGTTGCTCCTCTTCCAGTCTAGCTCTCTGCTGTGGCCCGGGAGTGCAGCGGAGGATGGCCCAAGTGTTTGGGCCCTGCACCCCATGGGAAACCAGGAGAAGCACCTGGCTCCTGGCTTTGGATCAGCACAGTGTGCCGGCCACAGCGGCCATTGTGGGGTGAACCAACAGAAAAGGAAGACCTTTCTCTCTGTGTCTCTCTCTCACTGTCCACTCTGCCTGTTAAAAAAAATACTTTGAAAAAAATGATTTATTTATTTATTTATTTATTTGAAAAACAGAGGTATGGAAAGAGAGAGGGAGAGACAGAAAGAAAGGAATCTTCTATCTGCTAGTTCTCTCCCCAAATGGCTGCAGAGGACAGGCATGGGCTAGGCTGAAGCCAGGAGCCTAGAACTCCACCCAGGTCTCCCCCATGCATGATAGGAGCTCAGATAATTGGCCCATCTCCCGCAGCTTTCCCAAGCACATTAGCAGGGAGCTAGATCCGAAGTACACCAGCTGGCACTCTAACAGGTGCCCAGCTGGGATGCCAGCATTGTAGGTGTTGACCTAACCCTCTGCACCACTACACCAGCCCCTGCCTACTACATTTTTGTAAGCACATGAGACTTATTTTGCCCAAAGTTCATTAGTTCTTCCCTATACTTCTCTTGAAACAAAACTCTTCTCTAGGAGATGGCCCAATATCCACCTAATTTGATAAGCCCGATATGACAGTCATCTTTCACAAGCAGCAGGCTTTCACCTCCGTGTGACTGCAAACTAAATGTGACTAACTTTATAGTTTCTAAATTTGTCCACCACCATTTAAGCTTTCTTTCATCTGCACTACCCCAAAATGTTCTCTAACTTAGATCCTTGTATCTACTGTCACCTCCCGCCAGCCTATTCTTTAGTTAGAACTTCAGTAAGTTTTTTTAAATCAAATCAAGTCCTCTCTCATTGAGAAAATTCAATGTCTGCTGATTTCTCTGTGGATACTAACAAACATCCATTACTGAGGCCTGCCTGATCTAGGCCTGCCTGATCAGATTCGGCGCCTGTTGTTTCCTCCCTATATTTCTGAACTTGTCTTAGTCTGTTTAGGCTGCTAGAGTAAACATAACCTGGATTGGTGCTTTAAACAATAAATATTTATTTCTGATAACTTTGTAGGCTGGGAAGTTCAAAATCAGGGTACCTGTAGATACGGTATCAGGTGAAGGATTTTTCCTGGTCTATAGTAGTGCTACTTTCTTGTATCATACGACAGAAGAGAGAAGCAAGCTTTCTCCTTTGTTTTTATGCAAATATTAATCCCAGACATGGTGGCTCCACCTATATGATCTAATCACTCCCCAAAGGTTGCTCCTCTTAATACCATCATTTTGTGGATTAGATCTCAGAATTTTTGGTTCAGGGAATATAAATATTCAGGCTACAGCAAACACCCGCCATATATCTTTCTGTCTTTCATAGCTTCATACAGGCTTCATTTCCAGTGAGGAAAACCACCTCATTTTATCATATTTATCTTTCCCCCAGTAAGCACCTACTCCTACTTCAGTTGTCAATCAATTGTCTCTTTTTTGACACATTGTAGATGACTTCGCAGCCATTGCATTCTCAACCCTATGCTTGATGAGGACTCTGGACCTGCCTAAAAAATCTTCAACAATCATGAGCAGGGAAATGCATAAATACTGTTTGATACTTGCCTTCACTGAGAGAATGCAAGTTCTAAGAGGATCGCAATCTTGTCTGCTGACTTACAACTGTCTCCATATTCTAATATTTACCAGCAAATAAGCATGTGCGACTGAAGATGTAAGTAATTAAAATGCGATGTAGTCTCCGATTACATCCATGGAGTCTTATTCCTCAGACTTTGTGTTTATTTGCAGGCAGCACAGGACTGTATGAAGCCTTCAGCAATTCATTGTCCTGAAGATCCAAATATTGAAAGATTTCACTCATTGTTGAATCAGCACAAGATAAGAGGAGCTCTCCATGCCCATGAGGGAATAAAGATTCTTAAGTTCATGTGGACCTGAACAAGCCTCTTTGTTGCATTGAGTGAGCACCTGGGTCTGAATGTATTTATAGCGTAGATGAGAGAGTGTACCAAAAGGCAAAGAATTTATGTTCTGAAAATAGAAGTATGCATAATGTATTGAGTATATGATGCAAAACACTACATAATGCACCCCATAATCTAATCAGAAATCAGGGCACTGTCAACAATAGCAGTGAACGCCCCTGTGAGTAGTCCTGATGAGGCCTTTCTCCATGCTGCTACTCTATCTCATGTTGATTGTTTTCTTGGATGTATGGAACTGGGACTTAAGTCTTAGTCGATCACATTTTCCCTAATTCCTCAACTATTCCATTATTTTCAGAGACGAGGAAAAGCTCCCAGAAAAAAAAAGAGTGCAACTTTTATAACTAGTGCCAAAACGTGCAATTTTAGTCAATGTAAAAGAGATATCTTACTCTTTGCCTTCTTCCGGAAAACCTCTATGTGTTTGTCACTTGTCTGTGGTAGTTAGGGAGAAATTTTTACTTTCCAACGAATTAAATGAGGCCTATGTTAAGCAAAATCAGAGTGTACATTTTGAGGCTCCTTTCATTTCTAGGGCTTCATGTGACATACTTAATCTTAGTTTGTTTGATTTTCTTCAACTGTAACTTGAGAACTTAGGTCTTGGTAGAATTGCACTGACCTCCTGCTGAAAACTTACACTTTGGGGAAAAAAAAAAAAGACAAAAGAATTTCGCTCGATAATCTTTTGAGAATCATCTTGAAAGACCTTAAAGACAAGAGGAAAAATCAGGTTAAGAGTTTCCCTCCTACTCAATTTTTCTTGATTATATATCAATTACAACCTTCAGTAAATCTGGTAACATTTCCTGGGGCAGGTGCTAGTTCATAAAATGGAGCTAAAAATACCTGTCACAAAGTAAGTTCAGGGAAAACAGGACCTCTGCTATTATTATCTATTACTGTATGCTCATACCCAGCTTGAAAACAGTCAGAACAGTGTCTGGAAAATCACTTTTCTTTGTTTTCCTAATGGGGACAACATTCTCATTGCTGATATAAAGACATAAGAAAGGAATTGGAAAGGCAGGTATATAATAAACCACAGTTTGTTCAAGACCATTGATTTCACTCAAACGCCTGGGAAAAGAAGTATTTTATTGTAAAGAGGAATGGTTATTAAGAATTAGAATTCAAATATGCAACATAAGGATGTAATAGGTTAGAAGACAGAATTTACAACAAGAAGATTTAAGGATAATGACATGATTCCCCAGCTCCTCGACTTTTCTGTTTCCACAGAAAAGTCCACAGGCCTATCAGCAGCAGATAGCTTAAGAAGACCATACTTCAGGGGCCTGCGCTGTGGAGAAGCAGGTTAAAACCCTGGCCTATAGCACCAGCATCCCATGTGGGTGCTGGTTCGAGTCTCAGCAGTTCCACTTCTGATCCAACTCCCTGCTAATGGCCCAAGTGCTTGGGACCCTGCCCCCATGCGGGACATCTTGAAGAAGCTCCTCAGTTCTGGCTTTGGATCAGCCCAATTCTGGCTGTCGCAGCCACTTGGAAAATGAACCAATGGATGGAAGACCTCTCTCGCTCTCTCTCTCTCTCTCTCCCTACCTCTCTCTGTAACTCTTTCAAATAAAGAAATATATATATATATATATATATATATATATATATATTTAAAAGATGCTATTCCAAAGAAAGGACAAACTGGCTTCTTTCATTCTTTGGACTCAAGTCCTTGAAAACGAGCACAAAAGATAGTCTGCACGATTACAACAAAAATTTTACTGGGCTGAAACTTTGGAGTACTTGAAGTGACTCCATCAATAGATGTTACCTTCAGGCCACTGGCTCTGTATTCCTAATAAAGTTAAAATACCAGTGTAATGAATTATAATATAGTAGATTGTCAAAATTTATCTCCATCATTTAAATTTTAATTCTTGAAATCAATATAGTGACCATTATTGTAACCCTAACTCTGGTTGCATTCACTTCCTACTGCTATGTTACAATTGACCAAATTTTGTCAGGTTAAAAAAAAATTTGTATTAGATGTTCATTTCATAGACAAGAAATATGGTGGGCATGATTGAGTTATAGGCAAAGGATTTTTTTTTTTTCCAAGCCAAAATCAAGGTGTTGGCCAGGTGGGCTCTTTCCAGGAAGCTCTAGGGAAGACTCCATCCCAAACTCATTTGGTTGTTGGCAGAATTCAGTTCCTTGTGGCATTTGGACTAAGCTCCTTGTTGTTATGTTGTTGCTCATTGCTAGCCAAAGGTAGTGTTCAACTTCTGGTCCTTTTTCCACCACTCTGAATTCCTTGGTATATATCCCTTTCATGGAATGATTCTCCCTTGTGCTTGAATCTCTTACCTGCATGTCAGCTGCCAGGCAGAGAAAATTCCCTATTTTTGGAAGGTTCATGAGATTAGGCCACAAGCATCTTTTTACATTTCTTATCTTTGGGTCACCTGACTTGCAGCTTTTCTATATCTGTAAAACCCCTGAGAAACAGCACTTGAAATTTTGTTTGATTACATGATCGGCAGATAGAATTTAGGGAGGAGTGAGGAAAATGTTCAGATTTCTACTTGCTGTACCAGTTCACTTCTACAAAGAGATAGTCTTGGAGGATGGAAGGAAGCCTTAGGAATTGGTAGAAAGATTTGATGGCCAGGCTCTGGAACTAGGAAGTGCAGGTGTCTATCACCATAGCTTTCCATAAGTGATGTCCCCAACAATTCTCACTCTTTCAGTCATGCTGATCATAGGTCAAGTTATAGATGTGGACTATCTAACTGATCAAGCAGAGTTGTAGAGATTTTCTTATCTAGAAATTATTCACTGATTTCTATTGTACACAAATGAAGAGAAATAGCCAAGGCCAAACTCACTTTCCATAGTGTCAAGCACAGAATAGATCTTCACAACTATCTAAATAATTTCTTCATTACCAATAGTGCTGATCCAACCCATTGGTTATTTAAATTTATTTACAACAATGTTATGTAAAAAAAGTATGACTTCTTTTAGATTTAAACGTTGTTTCATCTACATTTTTGCCCACTTACTTAGTTGCGAACAGTAGTAATAAGGGTACAAAGGTTCACTGGAGTCAGAGATCCCTGAGTGTGGTTTCTGCTCAGTCATTTACTCGGTGCCAAGATGGGGAAATAACCTAATCTCTATACTAATTTTGCTCATCTTCCACCTTCTAGGGTTGAGGTGAAAATCAAACTTTAGCAAGGCAATTGTTTGGGCCAGCGCTGTGGTGCAGTGGGTTAAGCCCTGGCCTACAGCACCAGCATCCCATATGCGCTCCAGTTTGAGTCCCAGCTGCTCCACTTCCAATCCAACTCCTTGCTAATGCACCTGAGAAAGCAGCAGAAAATGGCCCAAGTCTTTGGGCCCCTGGACCCACATGGGAGACCTGAAAGAAGCTTCTGGCTCCTGGCTTCTGATTAGCTCAGCTCTTGCCGTTGTGGCCATTTGGGGAGTGAACCAGTGGATGGAAGATCTCTCTCTGTCTCTACCTCTCTCCATAACTCTGCCTTTCAAATAAATAAAAATAATCTTTAAAAAATTAAGATAATTGTTTTAAAGTATTTAACTCCCTCTCTGATGGCTAAATAATGATAAATGTCTGATATTTTAAATATTGCAACCATAAATGCACTACCTAAACAGTAATATTGATGAATGTCTGACAAGGAAAAGCATTAGGACAATCAGCAGTCCCATTGCAAGACTATTTTTAATTACATCACTTTAAAAATAGCTGCTATAATTATTCTGAAGCTGACAGTGTTCTGAAGACATGCTGCGAAGGGCTTTGCTAATCAGAGGAACTCTCAATCCAGTGAGGTATCACATTAGGACAACAACAATCATGAATTAAGATCCCACAGTACGAAGGCTCACATCTTGAAATTACCGCTGATGTTATTTGCTAGAATTCAGAGCAGGGGCATTTGCAAATCTCACTTGCTAGTGAGTAACATTGAAATGCCTGCTGAAAAGCACAGGATTTCCAGACATTTGCCTTCTGGAGGGATACAGCCTTTGGAGCCAGTCACTGTTCACTTGTGTTTCCGAAAATTAAACCACCACAGCTGTTGACTACGTGTGTGCAGAGCTGCCCTCTAGGTCAATAAGCATAAAGATGCTCAGTTATTATATCACCAAGGAAGACATTATAGTAATCATGTGACGTTTTTTAAAAGTTCATGGAGGGGCCAGCACTGTGGCACAGTGGGTTAACGCCCTGGTCTGAAGTGCTGGCATCCCATATGGGCGCTGGTTCAAGACTCGGCTGCTCCACTTCTGATCCAGCTCTCTATTATGGTCTGGAAAAGCTGTAGAAGATGGCCCAAGTCCATGGGCTCCTGAACCCGTGTGGGAGACCCAGAAGAAGCTCCTGGCTCCTGGCTTCGGATCGGCACAGCCCTGGCCGTTGTGGCCAATTGGAGAGTGAACCATCGAATTGAAGCCCTCTCTGTCTTTCTCTCTGTGTAACTCTGACTTTCAAATAAGTAAATAAATTTTAAAAAAAAGTTCATGGAAATTGTCATTAGGAAAAAAAAATACAACACATGGATTACAAAAAATTTGCACCAAAAACAAACTTTTACTTTTACTGGTCCATGAATTTTTAAAGTATACTTATATTTATTTTTCCTGTGATCCAAATAATATTTTTCTTGATATTTTAAAATATTTTTTTCCTTTACTCAGGCTTGCATTCACATTTAAAAAAAAAGTTCCCTGATTAATTTTATTCGAGCAATAAGAAGACAAAGAGAGAGAGAGACACACACACACATTCAGAGAGAATATCTATCTTCTGGTTTACTCCCCCAAATACTTGCAATGGTGATGGGTGGGCCAGGTTAAGTCTGGAGTGGAGAATTCAGTAGGGCTCTCCCATGTGAGTGTCAGGAACTCAACTTCTAGAGTCATCACTGCTGCCTACCAGCACTCATCTACA